ATGATTTTACCAGACTCATGCACCTTATTATCAAATGACTACACTATAGCTGGTCGGTAAAAGAAACGTTTGCAGCAACATTGTTCCTGTGGGTGTGATTACTGACTGACAAGAGTACACAATATCAACGACTTGAGTTTAGTTCATTTTGTTATGACACGTTTTACCTAATCATACTTCACTAAACAGAGGAAAGATGTATCTGAATTTGGACTTTGATGCCTTAACGTAAAGTAACAGATATATCAACTTCAATAACACCCCCAAGTTACCTGTTTCCTACGAGCGTGTCACATGTATGTAATTGTATACAAGATGTAATGGCTTACAAATATCCTCTTATAGCTGGTATATTGCTGAATGCGGCATAAAACCAAAAAAACAAACCCGACGATACGAACAAAATCTTGTTTGCTCTCGTTACGTGGGCCAAAATATGGGCCAAAATTTTGGCACAAGTCATATATCCAATAATGCCTTTCAAAAGGTCCGTACAAATTGGTTAAAAGAGAGAAGGCTTGCGGGGTCCAACAGATGTACCACTGTCACAAATAGTGTCTCTAATCCTACATACACGGGAATCAGGTAAAGGTTGGGACAATACATATTGTTATATTGTTATTTTCAACTGTGAGGACAGTTTGTCACGCTACTTCTGGGGTTTACTGCGAATATACTTCGGTGGAATGTTCCACTTTCTCACAGAAGGAAAGATCAGTATCGACGTCAGTAATAACGCCATTCAGTCAAGAAGTAGGCACCCCGATGGGACGGAGCTGTGCTCTTCTTATTGCTGGTTTATTCTTTTGGCGTTAGAATATGAATGCTCTCATGAAGCATAGTGATATTCATTAAAATACATGACTACCAATTGAACTATTCTCTTGGGAGTTGTTGCGGTCAGACATAAGGTCGCATCACTGCTGGGGGGAAGTAAGGAGGTTCCGCTCAGGTCTGAAATGGGCAATAGAGAGAACAATGGCCTCACAATCGGGACAGGATGAAACAAAATTTGCCAACATTATTACAACTCGATGTCGACTTGAATCAGTCGGAAGTCCTAGCAAACACTAGGCAGTGGTAACTATTGGTAAATCTGACATCAGCATATCGGTTCAAGGCGTCCGATCGAAACGAAGACATTCCTCTGCAACAGGATATAACACGTATAAGTAGTTACATGGTGTTAACGCATTACAATCCTAAATAAGATAAAAACTCTAGAATCATGGGAAGAGAATCCATCTATTATTTAAACTGACGCAAAACGAAACTTTACCATTTTATAAATGAATTTGCAAACAATAATGATCATTTCCCATACGCTGAAACCCCACATCACACGAGCAACGGCCATTCTAATATCGGCTGCTGTTTTGTGCAATCGCCATTTTGGGCTAGCTCGATGTCACTGCTCAGTGTTGAATTTTCGTGTTTGTGTCTGTTGTCTTGTTCACCGTTTAAATAAACATATTTCCATCTCAATTTCGTGAACCCGTGTCGGTATGTTGAGGCTTCTACACTGGAATACGATAACTGTTCAACTTGCTGCTGACGGGGAGGTGTGTACCTGCTTGATCCAAACATGCCCGTTCCGACATGCATATGAATTCATACAAGAAATTAAGAAGAAAGAAGTCGACAGACAGAAGAGCCCGTCTAAAGCTGGACCATGGTGCAACTTCCCGACCATGCCAACGTGTATATAGAGACATTGACCAGCGTCTACAGCTGGACCATGGTGCTACTTCCCGACCATGCCAACGTGTATATAGAGACATTGACCAGCGTCTACAGCTGGACCATGGTGCAACTTCCCGACCATGCCAATGTGTATATAGAGACATTGACCAGCGTCTACAGCTGGACCATGGTGCTACTTCCCGACCATGCCAACGTGTATATAGAGACATTGACCAGCGTCTACAGCTGGACCATGGTGCAACTTCCCGACCATGCCAACGTGTATATAGAAACATTGACCAGCGTCTACAGCTGGACCATGGTGCTACTTCCCGACCATGCCAACGTGTATATAGAGACATTGACCAGCGTCTACAGCTGGACCATGGTGCAACTTCCCGACCATGCCAACGTGTATATAGAGACATTGACCAGCGTCTAGAAGCAGTTTGTGACCGGGAGAAGGACAACCATTCCGAACCTTGACGCAGTAGGACACTTGATTAAGCGTCATTCAGGTCCTGAATACAATTACCTGAGACAGCATTAGCATAATATGGTTAGACATTAGAACTGACTTGGATTAGTCATTGTATATAGTAAGTTTAACCTTGTATGGAGCAAAACCACTAGAGTGTAAATTTGTTTTGATAAGAGTGTAGGCAAAATGGGATGTAGGCCAATTGAGAACATGCCCTACACACAATGCTCTGAATATATCACTGTTCCAAACCTGTGAAGTTCCGGGTTTGAATTGGTCTTTAGCAACCCATGTTTGTCGCTTGAGGCTACTAACGGGATCGGGTGGTCAGGCTTGCTGACTTGGTTCGTATCCCAGTTGCGTAGATCGATGCTCATGATGTTAGTTACTGGATTGTCTGGCCCAGACTCGATCATTTACAGACCGTCACTAAATAGCCGAAATATTGCTGAGTACGGCCGTAAACAACCAACCAACCAAATGTTCCAAGGGTGAAACTAAATTAACTCACAAAAATACTATGAAATGTTTATACTCATGTACGGTTTTCATGTGTACTTATTACATTCCGTAGAAACATATTATAGATTTATCTAATGAAAGAACCCAAGTTAGTCGTAGTTTTTCCTCAGGTGTTTTCATTAGGTATTCGTAGGATGTTACTTGGGTACATTTCTACAGTGTGATTGTATATACACTTTACAGTGACATTATTGTATAGACACAGGACTTTTTACCAGCTGGCGCTTTTCTCGCTTTTTGATTGTTTCTCGCTTTTTGTATGTTGCATTGAATGGTGTGTTTCAGTACCTGGATCTCAGTACTGATGAAGAATATCTCCTTAGGGTATAAACGTCCTCCCGAGAAGAAAAAACGGCATCACCACTCGTATCATTTCGTCACACCTCCCGTTCCGTGTTCATTAACAGATATTAAGTTTTCACTCAGAAACCTGTAGAGTTATGCTGTAATATCTTCCTATTTGCCCTCATGTAAATATGGGAAGTAGTCATAGTGCAATGTAAACCCGTTCAGGTGAGACCCAGAACAGTTCAGTCAGACATTGCATTGTCAGGAACTTAAAGAGTACTATCTTAGGTTAATCCAGCAATATCCAAATATAAAACAAATAGCCCATACACACAAAGAAAACTCATCTGTCCTCACAGACAAAAGTGGTAATTGATAACCATAATGAAAGACAGCAGACTACAACATAAAATATGATACACTCAGTGTTTCTCCTTATATGCGCTGACATATTAGTCTTAATAAAATGATGGCATTTGAGAACATGCGCCTATTAGCAACAACACCTGCTTGTCCTCAAAGCAATCGATATGATCCTACTTACTGGAACCAACCAGATTTTTGAAACACTTTGAAGGCCCGTTACTCAGCTGATGTAAGTGTTTATGATGAAACGTTGAGCTTAAACTTTCAAAAATATCTCACGTTCAAAGGATATGACACTGAAGACCGCCATGTGGTAGGTCCATTTACCTCCTTGCATTAGAGCTCACACAAGTTCCGATTCCATATTGTAACCACTTAAAAATATTAGCTTAATCTGATCTGTAATAATTGGTTTCCTTCCCGAGAGGCCCCCTTCCGTTACAAAGAGGGACGTTTAGGAACAGTAAACGCGCCACTTACCTGCGTTCAAGCAGCCGGGTTACAATAAGCCTCTCGAAGTGCTCATTATAAAAGATGTAGGAATGGGTATTTGAATCCCTTATGACACACTTGTTGTTTGAAAGCCTCGATATATATTGATGTTTGGCCTATTAAGCGTTTGTTTTCCGTTGATCTTGACCAAGATTATCTAATCATACCTCTTAATAGGCCAGGTGGTTTTTGTACATATAGATATATTCAGTACCAACTTAGGATTGAAATGATAATCACTGGCCAAGCAACATCGCAACCGTATTTCCCCTACCGACTTCTTCACTACTTTGCATTTTAAAACGTTCGCGGAATAGCCTTGATGACATGTAGTCCACTTACAAATAACTTTGACAGAAAGTATCGAAAAAGTAATGTTTATCTATCGTGATGTTGACACCAGTATATTAGCATTGATGATGTAAATCATTTCCCTGTGGCCTACACTATGGCCAAACGTCTCAACACATTAATTTTAAGGTTCATAAGCTAACACTAATTTATAACGGTATTGCACTTTTTTCACGGTTTCTAATATAGTTGAGACATCATTATCCTTTCGAGGTTACTTTAGTCAATCTCGGCAGTTACTGTGTGAAGCTGAAATTAAATCAGGCCCCGATTTCTCGAAACAAACTTAAGTTTTTACTCAAATTTCAAACCGAGTTTGACAATTTGAAACAGCTGAATTTTAAACTCAACTGCATTTTTTAAATAAAAGAGCCCAAACATCTTAAGTAATCTATCCACCAAACTCAAATTGTCCACAATGTTTGAGTTTATTATCGATTTTAGTTCATTCTGGGAAATGCATTTTCTCAAATTTGAGAAAAATCTCTAACTTAAGTCAAAACTCAGACTTAAGTTTGCTTCGAGAAATCGGAGCCAGTTCTGTACTCGCAAAGTTGTTCAAACCTTAGCATCATATCAAAGGAAAAATATTCATGCTGTAGTATAAACGAACCTGTGGATCGTTATCAGAAAGTTGTTGACCTCAGCATGCTTTGAGTCTTATATTAAGTCTTTTGGATATGTCGATCACTCGGAGCCTCTCGGTAGATTTGTCCATAATGTGCATATGCATTGTTTTGTCCATTGTTCGTTTGTTCTTCCTGCTTTAAGATAATGATCCTCTTTCACCTCACAAATACTTCCGTCATGTGGAAGACGTAGTTATTATCACAGTGTCCCATGTACCAGCCAACGAGGCTGGGCTCACTTCAAAAAGTCTCCATATTTGGTATTTCTTCATCTGAGAGAGAGTTGTTAAGGTGCACGCAACAACTGTTTGTCTGTGATATTATCAAGCTGAACTGGGATTATTTTTGTCATCCAACGGCAATATATTTCCTGCTTTGTCAAGTGATTTCCCAATAGGGTTATCTGGTGGTGACCCGGTAATCATTTGGACAACAGTGATCGTGCAACACCAAAGGTAGGTAATGATATCATTTTATCATAAGGATAAGGCTCCATAAGGTTCAAGTCGATGTTTGTAATTTCCATCTGTTCTTCTTTATTGTCGTGTAATCAAATCTACTGTTAGGCTAATAGCCCATAGCCATAGCAAGAAAAAACATCCGTATGAAATGTTGTTAAGTATAGAAGGAACCTAAAAGCTACTATTCCCGGTAATATATCAACTGGAAATAACTATGCAAGCTTGTCGCAAAGGGCGGCTATTCTCGGACGAGATTGGGTGGTCAGGCTGGCAGTCTTGATGCATATGATTTACTCCTAACGGCGTTAGCCGATGCTCAAGATGTCAGTCACTGGATTGTCTCATCTAGACTGCATTATTTACAGACCCTACCATATAGCTGAAATATTACTCAATGCAGAGGACAACAGCAAACAAAACTACGCTGGTATATCACAACTCAAACTTAAGTAGCAAATTATTTTTAACTACAGGTTTGCTGTTCTGAGACTACTGACAGTACGATGTTGCCTGTTACGAAACGAAAATAATACCAGAACCAGTTGTGTTGATGTCAAGAGAACGTTCAAAGCCTGGTCGTATAGATATAGCATAAAAATTGTCGCTCCCGAATAAATCTGTACGTACAGGATGTGGACACTCAGCATATAATGCGGCCATGGACTTGGCAGTGGGCTGACTCCTAGTCATGCTATTCTGACTCTTATGCATGTTTCTCTGTAATCCCCTTTGTTAAAAGTTGCCGTTTATTTATATATAGGAGTAGTAGGCCAAACCTAACTGCTGGCACGCCATTAACTATGTAATCTTCCATAGAGACCAGGTAGCCTCCCTGAAGTCGAGGGCAACCCCCACGCTAATGACGTCACGAGGGGAATCCCCCTTCGCCTCCTTGCATGCGTGAAACTAGGTCATAGCTCGCGTCCTGTATAGCGTGGGCCGACGCCATGATGAAAAAGTCGTCCGTTTGTATAATGGGACCAACGCATATGAATGTAAACTTATTGGGCGAAATAAACAACGACAATATACAACTTCTATACACAATATTTAATAAGCCTATAAATCTAAGTAGCAATAGATGCTACTTTCACGATACATCACATCTTAACATAAGCCTTTATATACATGTTGGCTTACAATTTCAAACTGTTTCCCACCTGCTAATTACCATGTACTAGTATCCACAGTACAGCATATTCCATATAATCCATGTGATCGACATACAGCATGGTCTATTCTAAATATTCCATGAGATCAACAGTCACATTTCTTCACATGGTCACGTAAACAAGCCTTTAACTTCTTTGAGTGGCATTTTAGAAGTTGGGAAGTACAATATAGAACAAACTTTATGGATAACAACTTCGTTTTATTCGTGAGTGCGACGTTTCGATACAGCTTCTTGTACCGTTGTCAAGCATAATGGAACACGAAGAAGGGGGAAGTGTCTATATACTGGTTGTAACAATGTAACAAAGAAAAAAACACAATTAACATAATTGGCTAGGCAGAAAGCTGATGAAGCCAGAGAGTAGACAAAGGACAGGCGTGGAAGCCAATGATGTACAAATAATAATGAGATGTTTATACAGCAGAGTTTATACAGTAGATTGGGCTTTGTGGATGAGTGCATCATTAGCGGATGGAATGAAGTATCCTTGGTCTCGGTTGATGGTGGGCTTTTGGCGTTTGAAGTGGATGGCTTCGGTGAGCTTGCGTTTAGTGAAGTCTGTTTGTTTGTTTGAGAGAATGGTGATGTCAGACCACTCTATTGATGATTGGGGCTTGCTTTGATGTGGTCGGAAATGGCTGATTTGCTGTCGGAATTGGTAACAGAGGTCTGATGTTCTTTCACTCGGGTGTCGATGGGTCGGGAAGTTTCGCCTATGTAGCTCTGCCCACAATCACAGTTTATTTTGTAGATGACACATTTTGGGTTGGATGACACATTTTGTCGTTGGCTCACAAATATAAAAACAAAAAGAAGTTGTTATCCATAAAGTTTGTTCTATATTAAACACATGTAAACAAGAATCTGTATCGAAACGTCGCATAGTTTTCACAAATATCCAACAAAAACTTGTGTTTAAGAAACTTTGTCCACAAGTTGTTAACTTGCAACTAGGTCAGTGTGTTAGTGAGCCAACCTTTCATATCGTTTTAAACAACTATAATGCAAATCATGATTATAAAAACGTAACCACCAAGTTTTACAGTCATTTACACGCGTAAACATAGCAATACATTTATTGATAGTTGTATTAGCATTTCTTAAATTGTGTTTAATGCACTGACATTTTGTAGTGTCATTTCGATGACAAACCCTAAAATCAACAATTAATTATTAATCAACAATTAATTCCAAGAAAAACTCGTAGGAACGAGGAGACGGTGTTTGTAATCTAAAACTCATTAATAAAATAGGAGATAAGACGTGAACATAGACCAGAAATGAATAGATAATGAATATTGAAAACACAAATAATGAGTGCAGATGAGCTATAATCGATTTTCAAGCGTTTTACTAGTAATTGGTTATTCTCTCCGACGTCCGCGCCTGCCAAATAAATACAGTGTCATCGCGCGGGTCGTTTCATTGTCGTTTGGACAGCTGCTGATGTCAGACGTACGCCCTGTTCCCATAAATACCCAGACGTTTCTAAGACTACTTACTGGAAATCTATAGAAGTAAGCGTTGCTCAAATAAACGGCAACTTTTAACAAAGGGGATTACAGAGAAACATGTATAAGAGTAAGAATAGCATGACTAGGAGTCAGCCCACTGCCAAGTCCATGGCTGCATTATATGCTGAGTGTCCACATCCTGTACGTACAGATTTATTCGGGAGCGACAATTTTTATGCTATATCTATACGACCAGGCTTTGAACGTTCTCTTGACATCAACACAACTGGTTCTGGTATTATTTTCGTTTCGTAACAGGCAACATTGTACTGTAAGTAGTCTCAGAACAGCAAACTTGTAGTTAAAAATAATTTGCTACTTAAGTTTGAGTTGTGATATACCAGCGTAGTTTTGTTTGCTGTTTTCCTCTGCATTGAGTAATATTTCAGCTATATGGTAGGGTCTGTAAATAATGCAGTCTAGATGAGACAATCCAGTGACTGACATCTTCAGGGAGGCGGCCTGGTCTCTATGGAAGATTACATAGTTAATGGTATGCCAGCAGTTAGGTTTGGCCTACTACTTATAGGAGTGCCACGTATATATGGTGGCGCGATGGGCGCGGTGGGCGAGCTGGCTAAAGCGCCGGGCTTGTGATCCATCGAGCTTGAGGTTTCGGGATCGAGCCCAGCCGTGACCAGGTGTAAAAACCTTGGAGTCAACGTTGTGTGCAGACTCTTTCAGTGTTGTCACAACCCCATGTGTACAGTACACAACCCTGTCCACTTGAAAGAACCCACGAATCCGTTGGTATATGACCAGATGGTGGCCACATGAATACGTGCAAACACCTAGTTGAACTTGATACAAAGTACTGTGACTATGTGTCCCAGTCTATCCACCCGTAAGGGTGCGAAAGCCGGGAAACGCAGTGCGCATAGTGGCTGCAAGAGTTGTATGATCCCTGGGGAGTTGAGATTGATATCCAGTGATCGAGGGAAATACCAGCGCCGTGAGCATGTACTAGTCACGTGGACATGTACGCTATATAAATATCATGTCATAAAAATGTTTGAACATTACTGTACGTACGAAAACACTACATGTTTCCGGAAATAACACTAATCTCATTGTCACGCAGGTCTAAGATAAAGATTGTTATGTTGTATAAACCATCACATTAGTGCCTAGTGGAGCAGCCCCCTCGCATACTGTAGCAAACACACGTCATACTGGCAATCATACGTCGAATTCTCAGCATCGGTATCCTCTGTCAACCCCATCGGCTTCATACGCCAGTCCCTACAGTTTTGTAGCTCGAACTCAGAGGCCAAGATCGTCTCTAAATAGTATTCGATGGATTTCATATAGGGGCCATGGTTATCTTCTTGACAATGCTGCATTTGATATTCGGAACAGATATGTCTAGCGTTGCCATCTATGAATGTCAACCAACAGGAAAGGGTATCGTTATAAAAATGAACCTCACATATTCACTGTTGAAAACGTTGATCATTGAGTGCCCCAGGTACGGAAATGAGATATAACTTGAGGTCGTACGTCGCTACGACGTCTCCATAAATTTGGGTGTCTATCACACACACGTCTAAACCAGCACAACAACATCTATACCTCTTACACCTCTACAACAACATCTATACCACTCACACATCTACAACAACATCAATACCACTCACACCTCTACACCAGCACAACAACAGGTATACCACTCACACCTCTACACCAGCACAACAACATGTATACCACTCACACCTCTACACCAGCGCAACAACAGGTATACCACTCACACCTCTACACCAGCACAACAACATCTATACCACTCACACCTCTACACCAGCACAACAACATGTATACCACTCACACCTCTACACCAGCACAACAACATGTATACCACTCACATCTCTACACAAGCACAACAACATGTATACCACTCACACCTCTACACCAGCACAACAACATGTATACCACTCACACCTCTACACAAGCACAACAACATCTATACCACTCACACCTCTACACCAGCACTGCAACATGTATACCACTCACACCTCTACACCAGCATAACAACATGTATACCACTCACACCTCTACACCAGCACAACAACACCTATACCACTCACACCTCTACACCAGCACAACAACATGTATACCACTCACACCTCTACACCAGCACAACAACATCTATACTACTCACACCTCTACACCACCACAACAACATGTAAACCACTCACACCTCTACACCAGCACAACAACATCTATACCACTCACACCTCTACACCAGCATAACAACATGTATACCACTCACACCTCTACACCAGCACAACAACATCTATACCACTCACACC